TTATCAAAGACTGGAAAGAGTACAGGCGATGGCTACGAAGATGGTCAAGAATCTTCATCATTTGCCTTACGAAACCAGGCTGACTGAACTAAATCTGCTTCCTCTAAATTACAGGCAACTGCGCGCCGATCTCATTCAAACCTACAGGATTGTCAGAAGCCGAGAGTGTGCCCTGGATTTTGATGAATTCTTTGAATTGGCCCGGACTGACCGTCTGCGTGGTCATCCGTTCAAACTGCAAAGGAAGCGGGCTCATTCGGACGTCCGACGGAACGCCTTCTCACACAGGGTCATCGGGGCATGGAATGGACTCCCTAATGCCGTCGTTCTTTCCGAAAGGGTTAAATCCTTTAAGTGCAGACTAGACGCTCACTTGTTGAGAACCTACTGTACATACAATCATGATTGTTTTAGCGGCGGCAGTCTGCGCCTGGCTCACACTTACCGCTAACTTCTTAATTTTTCGCATTTGCTGATGTAATTGATGACTTCATTTCTGTTTATCGACATGAATAGGGTGCTCAAGGGAGAAAGCCTCATTCCCTTAATAAACTGACTTAAACTGACTATACTGGCTTCCGTTTCGGACATAGACTCAATTTCTCCCTCCCCATTTCAATCAAAAATGCCGCCTTCCTCTGATTCTTAAATATCTGGCCGTCAATTTCATTTCATCAGCATTATCCCCACCATACGGGCTTCCGTTGCGGAGACAGACTCCATTTCTCCCTCCCCCTTCCTATCAAAAATTCCGCTTTCATATTATTCTTAATTAACTGGCCCCCAGATTCATTTCTATAGCGTTATCTCCTACATACGGGCTTCAGTTTTGGAGATTGACTTCATTTTTTCCACCCTCTTCCACTGAAAAATTCCGCTTTCATCTTATTCTTACATATCTGGCCGTCAGATGAATTTATATATATATATATCCATCTCCTAAATACAGGCTTGCGTTTCAGAGATAGGCTTCACTTCTCCCATCCCCTTCCAATCAAAAATTCCGCTTTCCACTTATTCTTACATATCTGGCCGTCAGATATATTTCTATACATCTACCACCTACATTCGGTCTGCCGCTATGGAGATAACCTCCATTTCTCCCTCCCCCATCCAATCAGCAAATTCGCTTTTCTCTTATTCTTACATATCTGGACGTCAGATGCATTTATGTAAAATTATCTCGTAAAAGTGCTTCCTTTTCGTAAATTTTCTCAAGTTCTCACGTCGGCATCAACTCAAAAATGCCGCTTTCCTCTTATTGTTACATAACTAGACGTCAGGTGCATTTCTCCACCATTATCGCCTTTCATTTGATATTCCGTTTCGGAGATAGGCTCAATTTCTCCCTCCCATTTACAATCAAAAATTCAGCTTTCCTCTTATTCTTACATATCTGGCCGTCAGATGCATTTCTATACCTGAACGCCTGAACACCGGCCGCAATGCCCCTCCCAGACACCAGTACTATTTTGACGGGACGAGGCTAGAATCTGTGGAAAGACGCAGAGATCTGGTTGTATGGACGACCAAAAATCTCTCGCCATCCGAACGCTTTAGAAATATGGTCCAGATGTGTACTAGCACTCTTCTTTGTATCAGACGTGCATTTAAAATATTTTCTCCCGAACTTTTTGAAAGACTCTTTGGTGTCTTTGTAGGACCTCATCTGGAGTATGGAATGCCAGCAGCCTCACCATGGATGAGTGAAGGTTATCAACTTACTCGAGCAGGTGCAACGCAGAGCGACAATGATGGTCGACGGTCTGAAACAATTGTCTTATCAGGAAAGGCTGAATTTTCTTGGCGTATTCCCCCTTTCTTATAGACAAATAAACTACAGTCTACTCTGGACGTTCCGGATTGTTCGCGGCCAGGGTTGCAAATTAAGAGAAGAGGACTTCTTTGAGTTCGCCCGTACAAACCAACTACGCGGCCATGCATACAAAGTCGGGAATGAGCGCACGCGTTTAGACCGACGAAAATTTTCATTCAGCCAGCGGGTTGTCAGACCGTGGAACTCGCTTGCAAGCGAGATGGTGACGGCTGACACAGTTTGTGTGTTTAAAAGAAAACTTGCTCGTCTAGTTTTCGACAGAAATCGGCATGAACAGCATGACTATGCACAGCCAGTCTTGTAGAATCTGTCATATACAATCTTCCGCACTAATTTACAGTGACCCAATGCACTACCATATGATTACCACTGAATTGTGACCCATTCACAAGTTAAATGCCTGCAATTTAATTTTATTTTTGAGAATAAATCTGCGAAAGCACTGTATATAAATAGGGTCATCAAGGGCTCTGCCTGTAACACTTCAATATATATACATACATACATACATACCATTATCTCCTAAATACGGGCTTCCGTTTCGGAGATAGACTCCATTTCTCCCTCCCCCTTCAACTCAAAAATTCCGTTTTGATATTTAACTTTAGTATCTGGGCGCCAAATGCAATCCCATACTATAATCTCCTACATTCGGTCTTCCGTTTTGGAGATGGACTCAAATTCTCCCTTCCCCCTTCCACTCAAAAATTACGCTATCGTCTTACATGTCTGCCCGTCAGATGCATTTCTATACCAATATCTCCTCCATACGTGCTTCTGTTTCGGAGATAGACTTCATTTCTCCCTCCCCCTTCCACTCAAAAACTCGGCTTTCTTCTTATTCTTACATATCTGGCCGTCAGATGCATTTCTATACCATTATCTCCTCCATACGGGCTTCCGTTTCGGAGACAGACTCCATTTCTCCCACCCCTTCCACACAAAAATTACGGTTTCCTCTTATTCTTACATATCTGGCCGTCAGATGCATTTCTATACAATTATCTCATACATACGGGCTTCCGTTTCGGAGATAGACTCCATTTCTCCCTCCACCTTCTACTCAAAATTTCCGCTTTTATAAGGATCTTAAATTAATGGGCGTCAGATTAATTTGTATACAATAATCCTCTACATAAGCGTTTCCTTTTCGGAGCTAGACTCCACTTCTCCCTCCTCCTTATTCTTACATTTCTGCCTCTCGAACGTCGTTTGACTTTTCTGCTGTCAGTTGATACCTAAGGAGGTGGGTGCCGGCTATATCTCCTTCTGGAACAGCCACCCCAAATCAGAGCGACGAGACGCGATTGTCGCCTTAGTTGTCCTGAACGACATCGTGGGACGATTGCTCTGTGTGCCTTAGGGCATCGACAATGGACTGATGAGCCTGTGGCTGCCTCTTCGGGGACCCTCCCTCTTCAGTATCACCTGTGCCTGTCTATGGCGGTCAATTTGGTTATCCTTGGTGACTTCAGCCGCAGATTGTGCTGCCTGGAGCGGCGTGGTGGGTCCTCACGAGATTAGTGGTCTCCTTTTCCTGCGTAGCTGAGCTGCACACCGCCTCCTGCTGACCAATGCTTCTCCCGCATGTCGACGCAGTGGAAGGTGACGTGGATGCACCCCAGATCGTTGCCCTGGCAGCGCAGTGCACATTATACATAAGGACTCCTCGTCATCTCCAAGAAAAAGCTACGTCTGCAACCTCGCGGAAGACCACTTGGTAAGCGACCACCGGACAATTAAAATACCACTTCATTTTGGGTGAATGTTCTGAGTAAAATCCTGAGACGAAGTCAGTAAATGAGGCTTGTCGCTCAGGTGCAATTACGTCCAGTTAAATATAGCCAAAAGATATAAACGTTTCGTGTTGATTGACTAAAACCGATTGAGGCAAATGAGTGCAATCAACAAAACAATGACACCAAGCAGCAGACGACACAAAAGTCACGCTTTCTCACAAGCCGAAACCAAGTGTGTCTATTTTTGGTAATTTAAACAACAGTACAGAAACGTTCAGGTGTACAAGAAAGTTTGGAGTAAAAAATCGAAAATGTGCGTAAACCTACACAACTCCCCCACCAGAGCGTTTCTTGTACAAAAAACGCTCGATAAAAAAATTCAGATTGTTAAACCAGTAGGTCTTTGAGTTTGGCAGGAAAATGGATATGTCTACCAGAACGAGATGAGGTGCTCAGTGCAGTGGTAGGAAAATCAGGATGGGTGGGTGGGGTTGTCGAGTGTGGTGGTTGAGTGGAGGGGACCGAAACGGGTGGATCGGGTGAGGACGGTGCAGAGGAAGGCGGTGGCACAACTGACGGCGGGATGCACTCAAGATAGGCTGGCTTAAGTCTGCCAATGGAGACTGTGTCAGTTCTGTCAGCCTTCTGAATGACGTTATACTTGTCCACCCGCTGAAGAACCTTATATGGGCCATCATACGGGGAACAAATAGACTTGCGAACCGCGTCATGCCGGACGAAAACGAATAGAGAAGATTTAAGGTCCTCATGCACAAGCACACGTTTCGGTGTCAGACGAGTGGGGGTTGGACGCAGTTGAGCCATATGTTGTTTCAACTGCTGCACGAAGGTGCTTGGGGTGTTGGTATTAGTCGTGGAAGACTGCACAAAATAGCCAGGCAGACGGAGGGGTGTACCGTACACAAGTTCGGCGGCAGTGCATTGGATGTTCTCCTTGACGGAAGATCGGATGCCCAAAAGCACAAGAGGGAGACTGTCACTCCAAGAAGAAGTTTAGTGAACTCACGGAAGAGGCTAGATTGGAATTGACTTCCGCGGTCAGTAGTAAAGGTGGATGGAACACCAAAAGTTGAAATCCAGTACGTCCGCTACCAGGGGGGTAGCGGACCAACTAAATCCAAATGGACGTGATGGCATCGAACATCTGGAACAGCGAATGTACTTAGCGGAGAAAATGTGTGGCGGTGTACCTTATTTTTTTGGCAGGCTAAACACTCCCTAGTCCAAAGAGCTATTTCAGAGTTCATCTTCGGCCAGATAAAACGAGCGCTGATTAACTTACGACAAGCGCGGATGCCAGGATTTGACAGGGAATGTAAATGGTCAAACACTCTCTTGCGGTAGGATAGTGGAACAACGGGTCGAGGAGTGGCTGTGGACCAATCGCACAAAATCGTACCTGGTTATGCGGGAAGTGGTGCATCTCGAAGTCGCAGAGCAGTAGTAGAACGCAGGTCGTCAATGGACTTGTCGCCTGATTGGAGGTCTGCAAGCTTCGCCAGGTCGAAATCGGATGTAAATGTGTTGATGTCCGGACGGGATAATGCATCAGCAAAGACGTTGTCGCTGCCTCGGACGTAGCGGATATCTGCAGTAATCTGCGAGATGTAATCCAAATGACGAACTTTCCTGGGAGAGTAACGATCTGGCTTGGCCTTGAGGGCGTAACTGAGAGGTTTGTGGTCGGTGTGAACCGAAAAATCTCTGCCCTCTAAGAGGTGTCGAAAATGACGAATGGCCAAGCAGATGGCAAGGAGCTCGCGAGAGAAAGTACTGTAGCGAGTCTTCGCCGGTTGTTGCTTCTGTGAAAAGAAAGCCAATGGCCGCGACTGATTATTCCCCTGTTGATGCAGGACTGCGCCGATAGAACTATTGGAGGCGTCAGTGGTCAATATCAGCTGTGCGTGAGGGTCAGAACTGAGATGATGCAGCAAAGTGGCATCGGCAAGAGCTTTCTTAGCTGCCTCAAAGGCTGAGTGAGCTGCTGGAGGAAGTTCGATCGGCTTTGCCTTAGACTTCAGAAGATCAGTTAAGGGAGCTAGGGTCGCCGCACAGTGAGGGATAAAACGTCAGTAATAGTTAAGAAGGCCTATAAAACGCCGCAGCTGAGTTAGAGTCTTGGGGGCAAGGAATGACAGGATGCTGTGCGCCTTCTCTAGCAGCGGTGTGATTCCATGCTGGTCGACGTGGTGACCAGGGAAATCTAAAGAAGAGACGCCAAAGATACATTTGTCGACGTTCAATTGCAAACCATGTTGCTGGAAACGATCGAATATCTGGCGCAAGTGCGAGGCATGTTCCTCTGCCGAAGAACTTGCGACGAGTATGTCGTCAATGTAGACATACGTGAGTGAAAGTCCCCGTAAGACCTCATCGGTGGAGCGTTGGAAGGATTGGGCCGCGTTACGCAAACCAAAAGGCATGCAAAGGAATTCAAACAGACCGAAAGGCGTTGTAACGGCGGTCTTGGGGATGTCTTCTTTCTCGACCGGAATCTAGTGGTGTGTTCTCACGAGGTCTATTTTGGAAAAAAATAGTTACTCCAGCTAGCGTGTGAGAAAAATCATGCATATAGGGAATAGGGTATCGGTCGGGAACAGTGGCTCTGTTGAGTGCGCGATAGTCGTCGCATAGTCTTCAATCATCAGTCGATTTATTGGGTACCATGTGGAGGGGAGAGGCTCATGGGCTGGAGGAAGGACGAATAATTCCTAGATTCATCATATGCTCAAATTCGTTCCTTGCTATCCGAAGTTTTTCGGGGTGAAGACGGCGAGGATGAGCGTAAACAGGTTGCCCCGTGATGATGATGTGATGTTTAACCGTATGCTGAACCTCCCCGGTGAACTGACAGGGCTTAGTGAGGGACGAGTAGCCCTTCAAAATGTCAGCGAAGGGTGAGCTTGGTACGTTCAACTGAATGCTAAACAAGGGTTCAGAAGCAGCAATGCCCACGTTAAAGGGTGTGGTTGTGGTATCGATAATTTTGCGTTGCTTAAGGTCGACTGCAAGGCCAAAATGTGTCAGGAAATCTGCCTCAATGATGGGAAATTTGACGTCGGCCTTCACAAAGACCCACTGGAAACGTCGCCGAAGACGGATGTCAAGTGTGAGCGACCGTTGGCCATAAGTGTTGATGGTGGTGCTATTGTCAGCCTGCAAGGAGAACTGCGAAGGCTAGAGATGGTGACGCCTTGGAGGCGGGATGGCACTGATCTCGGCACCAGTATCGACAAGGAAACGGAGATCGCTCGATTTGTCACTGATATAAAAGAGTCGACTGGGTCGTGACTGGCCAGCGGTAGCTGTCACCGTTACTGGCTGGCGCGGTCGTTTCCCTGTGGTGAGGCCTGCAGGTATGTGCAGGGAGGGATGCACTTGCGTGCTTTCGGACCGTAAACCCGATGATACCAGCACAGAGTTGTAGAGGGGCGCTCTCGTGATATAGAACGACGGCGAGAGGGTGACTGGTTTCTGGCTGACTGTAAACTATTTATGGCAGTGCACACGGTGCCCACTTGTGTGCACAAAAGACGTACAGTGTCTTTTAGGTCGTCATAATCGCCTCGGTGAGGACTGTTCGGCTGTCTTGATGGACCTGATGACGTGGTGGCTCTGCGTGATGAGCAAAGACAGGATGACCGCTCCACACAAGAAGTGTCGGGTTCTAATGAAGAAGTGCCTTCTGGACAGGCGATGGCTACTCTATCAGATCTGTCGGAAGTAGAGGTCGGTTGAATATTGGCGCATGTCGCGCCGACCGGGTAACAAGCACTGATCCTGTCGGCATGATTGGCAACTTTGTCTACAGAGGTGCTTATGTCCAGCATAGACAAAACCTGCTGCATAGGAACTGGCAATTTATCCAACCAGATTTGTCGAAAGATGTGGTCGTCGTCCATATGACGACCAGCCAGTAATGAATGCATGTGGCGCTTAAGCTGCGAAGGGGTTTGATCACCCAGACCTACCTGTGTGAACAGCTCTCGTAGCATCCGATTAGCCGCCTTGGGCACTCTCTGGATGACGGCATTCTTCAACTGGGTGTACGAGTCGTTGGCAGGAATGGGGTCGAGGAGGTCGTCAACATCGACGGCAACGTCGAAGGGGAGACTCTGCAGCACAGAAGAGTAGCGGGTGCGTTCGCTAGTAATGCGGCTCCTTGGGAAAACCGCCTCAATTTGACGAAACCAAACCCGGGGGTTGCTCGATGTAAAAGGGGGTAGTTTGAAGGAGAGGGTATTGAGGTCGACAGAGTTTGTTTGAGGATCGTTATCGGTCATAGTTAAAAAAAGGTTGCGTGGATATAGAAAAACAGGGTCATCACTTTTGTAGTGTAAAAAACAACTAAACTAAAACAAAATAATAAA